TCCTTTCCTCTGCGCAGTCATCTCCCCCAATTGTATCCAAAAAAGTAGATCTGTTAGAAAAGGTGATGTTCACAGGGGACTCCTACACTATCTGCCTTCCTATACTCTGCCCGGTGGTCACCCATGCGCTTTCTGCCTGTCCAGTCTGCACCAACAGTGTGACCACTTCATTGAACCTGTTATCCACAACATGCTCAGCATTGCAGACGCACCACAGCAAGTGCGCCAGAGCTCCAGCTCCAAAATGTGGTCAAGCTAGTAGCTGAAAGCCGGACACACTTACGTCTGAATACAATTAATTTACCTCCCTTACCCCATTTTTGCTTATTGTCATTACTTTATCATATTAGTCCTGGCTTTCACTTATTCTTGTTGTTCCTCAGTTAATCCCTCCTTCCAATTAAAAAATGCACTTTTGGAAATCCCAAGCCAATCAACAGACCACTTCCCTGTGACAATTTGGCATGGTTATTTTTCTCAATCAGCAGTCCCCTGAAGCAGCAGGCATTAGGGGAGGTAACGGCCTAGTGGTATTAACGCTGGACTGTTAATCCAGAGACCCAGATAACGTTCTGGGGACCCGGGTTCGAATCCTGCCATGACAGATGGTGGAATTTTAATTCAATAAAATACCTGGAATTAAGAGCCTAATGATGACCGTGAATCCACTGCCGATTGTCAGAAAAACTCATCTGGCTCACTAATGTCCTTTAGGGAAGGAAACTGCCATCCTTACCTGGTCTGGCCTATAGGTGACTCCAGACCCATGGTTGACTCTGAACAGCCCTCTGGGCAATGGAGATGGACAATAAATGCTGCCTAGCCAGCGATGCCTTCATCCCGTGAATGAATAAAGAAAAACAAATTAAACTAGGTCTCTTTTGTGGCATAGTGGTAATGTCCTTACCCTTGGACTGGGAGACCCAGGTTCCAGTCCTACCTACTCCAGAGGCGTGTAATGCTATGAAGTGCAGATTGACCCTCCCCTCTGTGAACTAAAAGCAAAACACCCCATAGTCTGTAAAAGGAGTGTGAAAAGTGGTATAACCTGCCTTTCAGCCACTTTTAGTAGTCAAATAAAATAATTCCCTGACACTCACTTTAAAATCAACAATTAACAATTTATTTATCTAACAGTGAACAAATTAATTGAACTATTAAGAAACCGAATAAACGCCTAATAACTAACTATTCCCGAATAAAAACAAGATTCTAATGGTACGCTGTTCCAATAAAAAATGTCGCACTTTTTATAAAAATAAAATGTATAGAATTTAGTTTCTCGAAATTACAGCCAGTTCACGTCTTCTGGAATGCTCTGTGCCTTCTCCATCGAATGTTCTGCCAGGAACGCCTTCTCTGTTGCTTCTTCTGTCAGGAATATTAACTAACTGTGCCATAGGTATGTTTGATTTAGATGGTGCTTTCTCTAAAACTTAGAGAAGACAGAGAGCCAGCAATTCTTCCTTGAGAACTGAGAGCTGTTAACTCTTGCAGATGGCAATTTGTTCTCCTGTCTTTGGCCAACTGCCCTCTTCTTGTATATCCTTGATGACATATCGATATCTTACAGTAGGATTGGTCCTATGTTGTCTTAAATTTGTTTCTTGGTATCTAAATGCCTGGTTCAAATCGATTGGCTAAATTCAAAACTTGTTGTCTTGGTCACAAAACAAAACTGCTGCTTGGTCTGCTAACTGTACAGTCTTTTGATACAAGTGTTTCATTTCGGGTACGGCATTTGGGGAGGCATGGTGGCTCAGTGGTTAGCACTACTGCCTTACAGCGCCAGGAACCCGGGTTCGATTCCACCCTTGGGTGACTGTCTGTGTGGAGTTTGCACATTCTCCCCATATCTGCGTGGGTTTCCTCCCACAAGTCCAAAGATGTGCAGGCTAGGTGAATTGGTCATACTGAATTGCCCATAGTGTTCAGGGATGTATAGATTAGGTGGATGGGTCTGGGTGGACTTGTTGGGTCAAAGGGACTGTTTCCACATTGTATGGATTATATGATTCTACTCTCGATGTATTTTCAACTTCCTCACAGGTATTTTGTTTAAATCTCTAAGCACAGAAAAAGCACATCATCTTTTAAAGGGACCACACAATGCTCCCCCACCTAGCATTTTACAAACACCAAATTCTAACTTCCTGCCTCCCAATCCACAAGTACTCCAACCAACTTCACAAAAGTAATAACATCTCTGAACAAGTTGATTAGAAAAAATATATTAAGCTAGGTCTCCTCACTCGTTGCTGTCCCTCACTATCCTTGGCCTCAATTTAACCTGTTACTGACTCTCCCCTCGCTGCTGTCCCTCTGATCCTGGCCCTCAAGGGGCGGCACGGTGGCTCAGTGGCTAGTACTGCTGCCTCACAGCACCAGGGATCCAGCCTCAGTTCCAGCCTCGGGTGTGTATGGAGTTTACACATTCTACCCATGTCTGCGTGGGCTTCCTCTGGATGCTCCAGTTTCCTCCCACAGTCCAAAGATGTGCAGTTTAGGACGATTGGCTGTGCTAAATTGCCCATAGTAATCAAGGATGTATCGGTTAGGTCAATTAGCCATGGGAAATGCAGGGTTACAGGGAAAAGGTAGGAGGAGGAGTCCGGGTTGGATGCTCTTCAGAGAGTTGGTGTGGACTTGTTTGGCTAAATGGCCTGTTTCCTTACTGCAGGGATTCTATGATCCTGTTGCTGTCTCCTTTCTCTCTGCTCAGTTGAATCTTTAGCCACCTAGGCAAGTTGAGAGTATTCTACCACATTTCTGACTTCATGGTTGAACAGCACTAGGAGACAGAAGCTTACTCACTACATAATTCCTAGCCTTTGATCTTTCCCGTTATCCTACATCAAGTGTTTAGCTGACTAGTCCAGTTCAACTTCTGATAACTGAAAGCCCCCAAGATGTTAACAGTGGGAGATTCAGCGATTCTCTTCTTAGATATAACTGTTTGGCACTTGGGTGATGTGAAAATTACTTGCCAGTCATCAGCCTAAGCCTGGATACTGTTCAGGTCTTGCTGCATTTGGACATGGACTGCTACAGTACCTGAGGAATTGTGTGGCCTCTTTATATTTCACAGGTCTTTTTTGTAAATTGCAGCTGTGGCCTAACTGGTCAATCCTTGAAGCCTGAAAATCCGAGCAGAAAGCAAAGTGTCTTTTACTTCAACATATTCTGTGCATTAAACAGCTCCTCTCCCCTCACTTGCCCTCCTACACCCAACCCAGCACTCCTCATTGTCACAAGGTTCGCACCTGCAGGAAAAGGAATCTATATATACAAGAAAATCTTCAAACATAAATAACAACAGAATACCTGAAAACTCTTGAAGAAACTCTCAAATTGGTGATCAAATATAAACCAAATGATGCACTCCAAATGCCTTATGGTGTATAGGATTTTTCTGGGTTCATAATAGCTCTAATCTATTATACTACATGTGAAAGTGTTTCACTGCTTTGAAAAATGTGGTAAGACCAAGTTTTGTTTCTTTAGGAGACTATAATTTCAAAAATACTGAGTCAACATTCACAACCATGCATATTGAATAACAAGGTGACTGAATTCCAACATCTAATTGTAAATCCTTGGGTAACAGCATTATGATTTGCAGCACTGAACTGATTTACCCGCTTACACATACGCATGAACAGCCACTTTGTTCCAGCTTCTTACTTGCAACTTACCTTAAGAACACAGTGTTCTGCTTCTTAGTTTCAAGAATACAGCTGTTCCACCACTGGGGACTTGCATATATGAACAAAGGTCTGCTAGAAAAAGACTCTCCTTTGTGATTTCTGATTACTGGCATCTCCAATGTCCCACTGCTTCCTTTCTTCCCCCTTCTTAGCTCCAAAAACACTGCTTTCACATCACGGATGTAGAAAGAAAGAAGACTTACAGTACGACCACATCACCATTCTTTCTCAGAACACCGCAACTGTAAAATATATTGCATTCCTCGATCTTTCCCTTCCTCCTGTAATCTATCTTTCAGGGAGCGATTAGCTCAGTTGGCTGGATGGCTGGTTTGCAAAGCAGATTGAGGCCAACAGTGCGGTTCAATTCCTGCACCAACTAAGGTTACCATGGAGGACTCCTCTTCTCAACCTCTCCCCATGCCTAAGGCATGGTGACCCTCAGATAAACCACCACTAGTTGTCTCTCTTGGATGAGACCGCAGCCCTATGATGCTCTGGGACTATGGTTACATTACCTTTTAATATCTCTTTCATATCAAGTTACCTGAATGTTATGTTATAATTTACCTTCCATGTTTGAAATTTGATGGTATCCTGCAAAATAGACATTGGATATCACCTTAGTTTCTTATGAAAAATATCTTCAAGTCACATATGGTTCTGACCGGACACAAATGATCTAATTTGACTTGGTATGTTTGAAGAAGAATTCAGTGGAATGAAGAAGTATAAGAATCCCTGAAGCATTCTAATATGACGGTACTGATAATCACAGAAAATAGGTTTCTTTTTAAAAACAAGTACTATAAGCACAATAATAACGAAGCTAAAGGTGCAGCTCAGCATGAAACTTCACACAGAGAAAAAGCAGATCAGCTCATTACATTATAAAGATGCAAGAGAAGACCACAATATGAAATTATGGTAGATGGTCAAATAGTCTTGGATCAGTGTAATTTCTTTGATTTTAAAATGATTTCACAAAAGATTTCCTGTTATTAAAAAGTTAATTAGTTTATTCTTAAAATGTGTTTTAAACCCCCCAAAAAACATCTCAAACACTTATAAAAAGTGGATTCAATGAAAAGGCAGGAGAGAGAATAGTTGTTGAGAACTATCAATCATTGGAAGACAAATCTGGTGAACAGCAGGCAACAGCAAGATGATGTCCAGGCAAGAGGTGAGAAAACTGCAGTTCAGGACAACTGCAATTTAAACACTTCTCGCATGTTTATTTCTACTTCAGATAATTTGGTTTCCCATCAAAATATTCCATTCAAAATCAAATACCTTGTGTGCAGGAATAAGGTTGATAAGAATGGAGTCCAGTAGGTCCTGTGTTACTCCATCTCCTTCCATGATGATAGAACTCATCAAATCCAACATGTGCATCTGAACCTTCTGATTGTGGCTGTTGCTAAGATAAAAATATGTTCAAATCATTACTGATCACAGAACTACCTCCTGCAGTTAAAAGTGGTATACCTCATTCTGCAAATAGGGCTACTAATGCACCCCTTGATAACAGACTCTGCGCCTCCTGAAGTTGTTGTGATTTGGGAATAATATTTGGAAAAAAAACTCAGGGTTACCATTTACAAACACGCTAATTAATTAGTCTGCTCAGCCCTTCGAGCCTACGCCACCATTTGATAAGGATATGGCTGATCTGACTGAGGCTTCTACTTTCCTGCTACTTTTTATACTCTACAAATATCCTAAACCTATGGACATTTTTATGTTCGAAGTTAAAATTGCCACTTTTGTTTTGATTGGATGGCATTTTACCATGCAACTAGAAAAAGTTGGCTTACGATTTTATTACCACTGAACATAAACATTTGACCACCTTTCCTGATCCTCTCACCACAAATCAATCTTTTGATTATATTCAACACAATGTATTTAATTCTAATTTACAATAAGCAGAAAAATGTACATTAATAACTTCAGAAATCACGTTCTGGAGAAACAGTAACAAACTAAACCTGAGACCAGAAACTGCACCAGGTTAAGTAAAGATAATTTATTTCTCCAGTTTGTAGTTTGATATCACCTCTAATTGTCAAAAAGCACATTATTCAGCAATAGTTTTTATTTTGTGACAATATTTGAACACAAGTGAAATGCATCACATAAAAAAATTAAACAGGAGGCGAACAGAATTCTTCAGTGACTAAGATTAATTTAATGATATATGAATACAAACTAAATAAATGCCATGACTATTTTACAACATACTGAGAAAGGCAACCAATTCAAATATAGCAGACATGCTGCAATATTCAAGGGGAAGTTCTATTTAAGTTCTTCTGTTAATCTACAATACCACTTCCTGAAAATTATCATGGTTACACAGAGGTAAACTGAAAAACCATGATAATGGGAGGCAGAAGGCAAGTTAAAAAACAGTGAGATAACAAGGTGTAGAGCTGGATGAACACAGCAGGCCAAGCAGCATCATAGGAGCAGGAAGGCTGACGTTTCGGGCCTAGACCCTTCAATTTCAGCCCAGTCAAACAAGCTGGAAGATGCCAACTTTGATTTTTCGTCTGTCCTCAGAGAACTTAGACTAAGCAAAAGGACAATACAAACATAAACAGCAATCTTGGAACAAAACACCCAATCAAATAATTGTCTGGGAGGACTCCTGTCTATCAGATTTATATACTGAATGTAAGGCATATAGGGTTCATCGTTAAGTACGGCTAGAAAAAAAGAGGAAGTAAATAATTTCCTCCTGTTTTAACTTTTGGAAGGAAATATGATGTAACAAAATATATTGGGAGTTTAAAAAATACTTACTTAATGACTGAGAACAGAGTCCTGAAGAGCTGTATAAAAATCTCATTACAATCTTCAAGCTCAAAACAGATGTTATATGACTTGACCCACGCCAAATTCTGTGGAGCGAAATTATGTACTAAGTTTACTGTTATCAAGAAAAGAATTAAAAGTGCATAAGATTTAAGAGCAGGAATACGCCATTCACACCATCAAGTCTGCTCCACCAATGAAATTATGGTTGATCTGATTATCCTCAACTCTACTTTCCTGCTTTTCCCCTTTTACCCTTGATTTCCTTACTTTTTAATTCAGTATCTGCAGTAAACATAGCTTCAAAATAATCAGCATGAAGAAAACAAATTATAAATATTTGGGCTCCCAAATATTTTTAAGCAAGTAAACAAAGCAAATGTTGAAATATAAAATCAATCACAATTTTAAAAATGAGACTCACACAGAATGGCTCAGTTCTGAAACTCAGGGCTATAATGGCCAAGTGTATTTAATCGTTTTGTACGATTGTTTTGAATTAAGTACTGACTCTTAGACAAAAACAATGTGAATGAAGAACTCACACATGAATGGGCCTTAGAGACAGCAATTGCTCAATAGTGTCTCCAAACTACAGATAATGGGAGCTGTGATTACAATTCAGCAAACTTTACGTAAACAAAAGCAAAAAATAGTATTCACTGTTACTTGAACTAATATTTTAAAATATTTAATAATGTTGAAAATTTATGAAAAACATCAAAACCCAAAGATTTTTTTCTAAATATATAAAAAAATGGAGGATAACAACACATATAGCCTGAAAAAAGGCTCTTAGGAGCCATAAGGGTAAGCTGTTTTCTGACAGACATTGGAACAGTTCTTATTTAATACTTTGCATCAGTTTTCACAAATGAGAGACACTACTTGGAGGTGATTCTGAAAGGTAGAACTATGAGAGGATTTTGTGTGAGGGAAATTGTGTCTCATAAACTTGATTGAGTTGAGGAAGTAACCAAAATGATTGACGAAGGCAGAGCAGTAGACATTGTTACTTGGATTTTAGTAAAGCCTTTGATAAGATTCCACATGGTAGAGTAATTAGTACAGTTAAATCACATGGGATTCACGGTGAGCTTACCAATTGTATACAAAATTGACTTGATGGTAGGAGACAAAGGATGGTGATAGAGGGTTGTTTTTCAGACTGGGAGCCTGTGACAAGTGGTGTTCCATGGGAATCGGTACTGGGTCCACTTTTGTTTGTCATTTATATAAATGACTTGGGTGAGGATATAGGAGGCATCGTTAGTAACTTTCCAGATGACACCAAAATTAGTGGTAGAGTGGACAGTAAACAAGGTTGTCTAAGATTACAGAGATCTTGAGCGATTGGGTCAATGGGCTGAGGAGCAGCAAATGGAGTTTAATTTGGATAAATGAGAGGTATTTCATTTTGGGAAAACAAAGAAAGGCAGGGCTTATACAATTAAAAGTAGAGCCTTGGGTAGTGTTGTAGAACAGAGGCACTTAGGGGGTCAGGTACATAATTCTTTGAAATTTGCATCACAGGTAGGCACAGAATGGTTAAGGCGGCACTTAACACGCTTGCCTTCATTGCTCAGAGCTTTGACTAAAGGAGTTGGGACATCAGGTTGAGATTGTACAGTGCACAGGTGAGGCCACTTCTGGAGTATTGTGTGCAGTTCTGGTCGCCCTGTTATAGGAAGGATATTATTAAATTGGAGAGGGTTCAGAAAAGAATTACCAGAATGTTGCCAGAAATGGAGGGTTTGAGTTATAAAAATAGGCTGGATAGAATGGAACTGTTTTCACTAGAGTATAGGAGTTGAGGGGTAACCTTATAGAGTTTCATAAAATTATGAAGGACATAGATAAAGGTGAATAGCAGTGGTCTTTTTCCTAAGGTGGGGGCAGTTCAAAACTAGGGGCCATATTTTTAAGGTGAGAGGAGAAAAATTTAAAAAGGAGGAGGGGGCTCTTTGTAAACAGAGAGTGTATGGAATGAATTGCAAGTGGAAGTGGTAGATGCAGGTACAGTTACAATGTTTAAAAGACATTTGGATAAGAATATGAATAGGAATGGCTTGGAGGGATATGGGAGAAACGCAGACAAGTGAGACTAGTTTAGTTTGGGGACATGAACTAGTTTGCGTCGAAGGGTCTGTTTTCACGCTGTATAACTCTCAGACTGCAATCAGGGAGGAGTGTGATATTATTAAATAAAATTGAGAGAGAGGAGGCATTAAACAGTTTAACATCTTTGAAAGTGGATAAAACCCCACACTGCATGAAATATATCTAGGGCTAAGGCTGTAAAGGCTTCTTTTACATTTCCCTATTTTTAATTGTGGACTAAAATGAGAAAACAAATGCTTTAAAAAACAAGTATTGCTGGAGAATTGTCGCATGTTTAAAAGTAAATAATCTGACACCCACTCATTGCAAACATCATTTACACAACTTCTTGTTCAAACATTGGTTAAAGAGTGGCAAATAAGCTGCAGCCAAGGGATTGTGTAGAAATAGAGCTTTGGGTGGAACAAATAGATGATTGGTCTGCAGACCTATGGCTAGTTATCGATAACAAAGGCCTTCTTGATTGGTTCTCAGGTAGGTGAACAGCATTAGGCTGTGAAAAGGACACAATGAAGTCTTCAGACCACCACCAGAAGAAATAGCAAATATATAGAAGCTATATCTCATCATCTTTTTCCAATCCTGTCTGGTTACAGGCATGGGGTTGGGAGGACTGAAAGAGAGAAAAAAAACCAGGGAGACTGCGAAATTAGAGGTATGCCAGTCTAACTTCGACACAGGCAAAGCAACTGGAAAAGTTTTGAGGACAGGATAAATCTGTATTCAGAATACATTGATATATCAGACAGTTAGCATAGATTTGTTTAAGAGAAAACACAGTGTAGAGCTGGATGAACACAGCAGGCCAAGCAGCATCAGAGGAGCAGGAAGGCTGACGTTTCGGGCCTAGACCCTTCTTCAGAAAATGAAAACAGCATCCGCAGTTCCTACTATCTCTGTTTAAGAGAAGTCTTCTTTCTGATTAACTTGATGGAATTCTTTCAGGGGATAACAAAGTGGGCAATGTATTTGATGTAGTCTATGGATTTCTGCAAGGCTTTTGATAAACGCCCAAGATAACAGATTAGCTGTGAAACGAAACAGCCATGGACTTAAGGCAAATTGACAACTTAGATCTAAAAGCGACTCTGAGGCAAGAAGCAATGAGCAATGGGTAATAATCGATGGATGACAGGAATGCTGTCCAGTTGGGTTCCACAGAGCTCATTATTATAGGTACCCTGCATTCTATAATATTTAAATATATCAATCGTTTGATCATAAATAAAGGGCATATGATTAAGAACTTGGCAGACAATGTAAAAATTGGCATGTGCTTGACAATGAAGAGGAGCTGCAAACTTCAGTGTGTTGTGGCTCGTTTGAACAATGTCCTGATGCAGCTCCGTTAGGTATAGGTGTTGGCGTGGTTGCCACAACACACTGCAACAACCCGGAATTGTGCAGAGCATTTATACACAGTTTTTAAATGTAATGGATACCCAAAAGCACAATCCACTGTTACCTCCATGACAGACCACAGCAAGACACAACACAACTAGACACACAAATCACCCTACTGTAACGAGAGATATATCAGAAATTACCACAAGACTACTCAGACCCTAGGTATCAGGTAGCCCACAAACCAACAACAACCCTGTGACAGCTACTGACGAACGTAAAGGATCCCATACCCACAACCAATAAAAATAACGTAATATACAAAAATACCATGCAAGGACTGTGAGAAACACTACATAGGCCAAACTGGAAGAAAACTGACAATAGGGATACATGAACTCCAACTAGCCACCAAGAGACACGACCAATTCTCACTGGTCTCAATACACAGGATCAAAAGAGGACACAAGTTCGACTGGGACAACACATCCATAATAGCACATGCCAAACAGAGACATGCTAGGGAATTCCTGGAGGCCTGGCATTCCAACTGGAACTCCATCAACAAACACATTGAACTGAACCCAATAATACAAACCACTGAAAAAGAGAACCGGAAGTGATGCCAACCGCCCCAGCAAACCTAGCCATATAAACAAGCAGGACAGGACACTAACGCTTCACTGGAGATGTACTGACGATGACGCAGGGTGACGAAACGTTTGCATTCAAATACACTGGCTCAGCAAGCAAATCTACAACCTCATAGGTCCCTCAGGGAACGAGCTTCGCAAAATATTAACGGGGAACCAGGAAATGGCAAAGGAGTTGAATAAATACTTTGCATCAGTCTTCAAGTAGCATTTCAAGTGACTAAATAAGCAAGAAGCAAAGGAGAAGAAATAAATAAAATAATCCTCAGTAGAGAAAAAGTACGAGGAGATCTAATGGTGCCAAAGATTGACAAATCCCCTGAACCTGATGGGATACATCCAAGGATACTGGAGGAAGTTGCTACGGATTTAGTGATACACTGGTAGTAATCTTCCAAGAATCCTTAGAGTATGGAAAAGTCCCAGAGGACTGAAACTGCCAATATAACATCTTTATTTAAGAAGGGAAAGGGACAAAACAGTTACCCAGTTAGCCCAACATCTGTCACTGGAAAAATGTTGAGAGTCTATTATAAATGACATAATAGCTCAGCATTTAGAAATACATAGTATGATCAAGCAAAGTCAACATAGCTTCATGAAGGGGAAATCATGCTCGACAAATGTACTTAAATTCAGTGAGTAGTTATCAAGCAGGATAGAGTCACAAAGGTCTACAGCATAGAGAAAAGTCCCTTCAGCCCATTGAGTCTGTGCTGATCAAAACAATCGCCTAACTACTCTAATCCCATGTTCCAGCACTTGGACAGTTGCCTTGTATGTCTTGGCATCATAACTGTACATCTAAATACTTATTAAATATTAAAAGGGTTTCTGCCTCTACCTACCTTACAGGTACTGAGTTCCAGGTTCCTACCACCTTCTGGGTGAAAGGATGTTTCCTCATCCCATGTAAACCTCCTGCACTTTACCTTCTATCTATGCCCCGGTCATTGATCTTCCATCAA